CAAAGTCGAAAAGTCGGGCAAATGTTCAACAAAAGTGGGGCAAAAGTCGGGAAAACCAAGCTAGTTGAGCAATATTCTCTTCACAGTTGTGCAATATTGGGTTATTATAAAAATAAATGGGATAAATTCTGCAAATTTTGCGGGAAATAATGTAAATTTTGCAATGTTTGGGAAAATTTATTTGATGTTCCGAAAAATTTAGGTGTGTCCGAAAAATTTTTATACCCCTAAAATGGTACACTGACCAACATTTTTGGCGACAGGGCGGGTGGGGTGGCCGGGGGGGGGATGGGGGGGGGCAGGTCGCCAAAATTTATTTTTCCGGAAAAAAAATTTTTCGGGCTCACTTCGAAAAAGTCGGGCAAATTTCTTTCTGCCCCCCTAATTTTTTCCTTCCGGTACGCCTATGACTACAAGATCTGGTAGAAGGACTACTCGCTATTTGCTTTGAATAGTTAAGTAAAATATACTTGTGTCGCATTATAAATGTTATAAATATTGTAACTGAGGGTGGGCCATGCCATTTCATGTGCACTCCCTTGGGGGGGCCACATTTTATGCAGTGACAGGAGCAGGGCCATATGAAATTATGTTGAGGAAAATGAAAATCCACCCGCCCACCCCACCCCCCTCTAATAAATGACCGGTCCCTAAGGGTTTCTGAAGGGTCGTTTGAATTTTAAAAAAATTCTTAAGGGACCATATGAAATTATGTTGAGGAAAATGAAAATCCACCCGCCCACCCCACCCCCCTCTAATAAATGACCGGTCCCTAAGGGTTTCTGAAGGGTCGTCTGAATTTTAAAAAAATTCTTAAGGGAACTGTAAATTATTAAAATTTCTTAAGGGTCACTTCTAATTTACTAAAATTTCTTGAATTGAATAAAAATATATCCAAAGTAAAGGGTTGTCTAAAATATGACAGCCCCATTTCTTAAAGGTAGATGTATAGAACCACAGTTGATTTCTAAGGGGTCTAAAATATCAGACCACATCCATAAAGGGGGGGGGGGGGTATATTAAATGCAATGGACCCAAAGTAAACTGGATTGTGGGTTAGTTTTAACTTTTTGTAGTCTTTAACTTTCAGTTGTATGAATATAGACAATATAAGCAATCAATTTGAAAGCTTGACATGAAACTATGCAAACATTGGTCTTATTCTATTAAAAAGCTTTATATCCCCTATTGAGGACCAAGGTCTTACAATACTTCTGAAGAATTCTGCCTTAACTAATAACCCCTGAAGCCTGAAGGACTCATGTAGACATGCAGAGGCTACCCTTGGAGAATTAAGTGTTTTTTTCCCTTACCCCTGAAGAAATTAAACTCAAAGTCTCAAAATACTATTTCTAAGGGACCAGTCATTATTTATGGAGGGGTGGGTGGCATGAATGAGCGGGCCATAGGTATAAATAAATGAGCAGAAGGGGGGGGGGCTATTAAATTTTCCAAGGAAATGGGAGGGGGTAAAAAATCTGGGATTGCAATAAAATTTGAAGGATTTGCTTAATTAAGCCTGGTTACATGTATGTACCAAATTGCCATTTGGTTGTAAATGTTACGATTAAGTCATGGTTATTGATGTGAAATAGTCTGGATCTATTTTGTCTTTTGTGTGCTGTATGCAAATCAGTCATTTTTGATTGTGGAGATAGATCGACAATGTATTATTACATCAGCTATTTTGACATGATTTATTTGTATGATTGTATGGTGATAAATCTTTGTTTGTTGGATTAACATAATGTCAAAACTGCATGTACATATTATTAGCACTGATGGAGATCCAGGCTTGGTGGATCGAAAGCTTTAATTGCAATAATAAATTTATGCAATGTTTGCATAAACAAAAAGTATCATATAATTTTGACATGGTTACAACTACTCAGACCATGCAAAATGGAACCTGGTGTTACTGTTATAAAAGAACTGCTAACGAATAGCATTCTAGGAAACTATTTTTTTTTTAATTTAGTTTGCCCAAAACATTATGAGATAATATAGTGCTATTTAATATTTACAAATGTGGGCTAGGAGTCTACTAGAAACCATATGGCTTTTATTTTAGGCCCCTAGATTATGAATTAAAAATAATTAATAATTAATATAATGTCAGTTCGAATATTTTTTAAAGAAAATACAAAGTCAAAGGATATATTAATAATTTATAAAAAATAGTTAGGATGTATATTACAATACAATTTTAATATTATATATTATTACAGGAATATGACATGTTGTATATCAATCTAGCGTCCATTTTTCATTCTAGGGGTGTCCCAGTATGCCTGGACGCCCATCTGGCTAAAAGCCTGTATGTATCTTAATGTTATTAATTATGTTCACAGGAGGGCATTCCCTGGTTTGTGTGCTCGAAACCAGACAAGACCAAAAAGAACATCACTTGGTTCAAATATAGCCAGCATTCCTCACAAAATGTCTAGAACATATTCTGGTACATTTATAGCAAAAGAGACATGGACTCATGATTTCTGCTTATTGAGTTCACCAGCAGCTAAAAAAACACCAACGACTGTGGAAATAGAACAGTTAAGAAAAGCTGGTCTTGGAAAAAGAAAAATTGTTTTTCCAAGTAAAGATGCTGATCATAATGGCCTTGTTAAACACCTGGAAGCAAGTTACCCCAAACTTAAGTCTGGAGGTGGCTTTGAGTTGTTAAAGGGTATTGGTGGAGGATCTGGAGCAAGGAATTTAGAGAGCTTACCACTTGGCTCAAATGGGTATTCAATACGCTACCTCCGAGAAACACTTTGTATTGGTCAAGCAGTCTTGTACATAAAACCTTTGCAGGTCAAATTGGACATGACTCCTGAAGATGTTAATTATGTATGCATTAATTAACTTTCCTTATTTGTTGTGTTTTTGTGTACACAAGTAGTAGTTCGAAATGCAATATTTTTGGAATCAGACTCAAAGTGTCAAGTCAAGAGATTTTTTCGAAAGCTGTACAGCATGCATCTAATCTATAAATTGTCAGCACCTTACCAATCATGCAAGTAAAATCATTCCCTAATGATTTGAGTAAAAAGAGCGCATACAAGCTAGCTTGGTTAACATTAACCTAATATGAAGTTTGCTTATTCACCTGAGTACATTACACCAACACAACAAATATCATGATTATTAGATTACACTGATATCGAAGGAACTAGATTCAGTTCCGAAATATCGCAAATGTTGCGAAAGTTTTAGAACGTTGTGTTTACAACCGTCTGATTGGTCATATAGAGAACATGATATCCGTCGCACAGCATGGTTTTCTGAGAGGAAAGTCTTGCACAGGTCAGCTCATTTCCGTTCTTCACCGCATCAGCCAAAACCTGGATTCAGGGAAACAAACAGATATCTTGTATTTCGATGTTGCTAAAGCGTTTGACACGGTGAATCATAGCCTTCTTTTAAAGAAACTCCAACGATTTGGACTTAGGGACAATATTTTAACGTGGTTTAAAAGTTATTTATCCGGACGACAACAGCGTGTACTAGTCAATGGTGAGATTTCAGAGACACGTCCAGTTTCCTCCGGCGTTCCGCAAGGATCAATACTCGGACCACTCCTGTTTCTCATCTACATAAACGACCTTCCCGAATCAATAACCTCATCCGCTGTTGACGTTTCCTTGTTTGCCGACGACACAAAATGCATCTCAGTTATTGAATCACCGGTTGATGCCTGTGTCCTTCAAGCTGAAGCGAGAAACGTGGAGAAATGGGCTGAGTTTTGGAGGCTCAAATTCAACGCCGAAAAATGCAAAGTTCTGAGCGTTACGAGAAAACGTCATCCTCTTGTTGCTGAATACATTGTCAACGGTAAAACTTTGCAGCATGTTTCCTCCCAGAAAGACCTCGGAGTGACGGTTTGTTCAGATCTCAGATGGAACACTCATATTTACGAGCAAGTTACGAAAGCCAACCGCCTACTTGGTATGCTCAAACGTTCGACTATCAAAGTTAAAAACGTAAATACCCGACGCTGTCTCTACCTTACACTTGTGAGATCCCATCTTGCTTATGCCTCACAAGTGTGGTGTCCACAGACTATCACCATGTGTATGGAGCTCGAACGCATACAACGTAGAGCGACCAAATTCGTACTGTCTTTACCATTCCAAACGGACATGCCATATAAAACGAGACTCGCTGCGTTGAATATGCTACCTCTCTGTTACTGGCACGAATATCTTGATATCCTGTTCCTCTTCAAATGCAAATATGGCTTGGTTAAAACTGATATCCTACCCGAAGAAGTTGACACTCTGACTTCAACCATAAATCTACGCTCTTCTAATAACTCTCTTGTAAAATATAACATTCCTAAAGTAAGAACGCTATGTCACCAGAACAGTTATCTTGTACGAGTATCGCGTGTGTGGAACTGCCTACCAGATGAGCTACGGAAACCAGAACTATCATTGCAGAGCTTTAAATCACGTGTTATAAACTATTACCACTCCGCAACATTAACCGTGTTTGACCAGGAAAATCCGCAGACGTGGAAATCAGTTTGTCTGAAATGCCATAAAGCCAGGCAGCTTACTGCAACAATGAAATGTTGTTCTTAATTGAACTAGTTATTTTGGCAATTATTCAATGTAGTATACTTCATTTTATCCGATGTAGAGTTGGGTTTTTCGCCATTTTCGTTTTATTTATCGACGGATACAGAACCTATATATATTCTCGCATTTATTCTGTTTGACAATTTTGTCATTTTGTTTTCCCAAATTTCGAAATTTTTTACCCTCTCTCTCTACTTCGGATAAAAAGGACTATACTATATTCTTGTTTGATATTTAAATTATAAGTTGTGAAGTTTTGTATAATGATGTTTTGTAACAGGTCACTAACGTAATTGGCTCACGCTGTGTTAGTGTTCCTGAACCGTCTTCCTGTTTGCATATGTATATTTCTGTTGACGGCTGAAGTTAATAAATCTAAATCTGAATCTAAAATCTAATCGCATACTCGAACCGACCTGACCACGTAGCTCAGTTGGCAGAGCGTTGGGCTAGTATTCCAAATGTCGTAGGTTCGAATCCCACCGTGGCCAGGCATATTTTCAAGCCTGCCCGGTGTGGATATACACTCAGAGTAACATCACACAGCATCTAATATGAAGTTGTGTGTTTTTTCTTCGATATGATACTTTCTTCATTAAAATTATTTTATCACATTGTTATAAATACAATAATTTAAATATCGTTTAGAACACCACCAATGTGCCTAATGTTCAATGCGTAACATGTGGAGTTTCGTTTTCACCATCAACAATCAAGTCACATAGACTTGACTGCCCATCTAAGGATTTGAATGAAAGGTTGGTTGCTGAACATTATCTTTTTCCCACAGTGTACACATTTTACAATCGAACATATGTTTACAAAACTATATTTTACAAATATTTTTAAGGTAGCTACTAATGTTACTATTATAATATAATTAATATATTTTGGAGAGTGAAAACGTGCCTAAAATATAAACCCAAATTGGGTTTTCAGTTCATTGATAAAAAGGTGTAAACACCTATATGTCAAGTTACGTTATTGTTTTCGATTTAATTCAAGTTTTGGGGATACATTAGATATAAGCGCAGCTCTTTTTGAAAAAGGCCATATGCCGATAGGCTCCTAGAATTAACTCTTTGAAATTAAAGACTTGCTAGCATAGACTATTTCTTGCTTGGGAAATCAAGGGAAAAGACACCCAATGCTCTTCAAAGGGGCTTGCAAAAGTTGGGTCCGTGTTTACTCATTCAATGTATATAATGTCACATACGCTACCAAAGGCAAAGTAAATGGTTTAGCCAACATATTATGCTTGCTAACTACGGACGCAGGCTAGGCACATAGCTACGGGGGTGCGGTCGTCCCCCACTCCCAAGAAAATTTCTGAAGTGGTTTCAAATATTGTTTAAATACGCCAAAAACATATCATAAGTTAATTGATTAAAATAGTCATGAAACAAAATACAAAATTAAATTCAACAAGAAAGATATATTGAAAAATGAACTTGAGTATCGAATTACATTTTGTGCTAGAGTTAACATTTTCAGTTTACATCGACAACTGCCCCTCTAGTAAATAGTGCTCCCCCCCACCTCCAATTTTACATCCTAGCTACGTGCCTGAGGAGGCCATACTAAAGACAGCATTATTTGGACAGCACAATTGTGCCGAAAATAAACATTAACATCTTTCATGAGCAATTTGCCCGGAATTGAGCCTACACACAAAAGGAAAAAAAATAAATATGTGGGTTTCCTATTTCTTCTTGTATAAAAACTTAGGTAGGGTAGGTCGTTTTTTTTTAAATTTTTCTAACAGCCGGACGCCATTTTGTTTAGTCAGTGCCTCCACATCCAAAAATAAATTTCCCTAAAGTTGCCTCAAATTTCCATTTTCTACAAACATTTTCCTCTAAGTGGAAACAATTACAAGCATTATCCAATAAACAAGTTTAGGGTCGTTATTTCGGCATCCAAAAGCTAGGTAGGGCGGGAAACCGGAAACCCACATATTTTTTTCCCTAAACAATATGTATTCCATTAACATTGTGTAAATCAGTTTCGACGCACAATGTAAATAGTTATATATTCATATTGTCTATTTAAGGTGGCTTGGTTGATTTTATGATTGTGTAATATCTATAGTAAGAGATAAAAGTATAATACAGCAGTATCATGTTTTCTTATGCATATTTAGTATACCAGTTAAAATGGTTGTCATCGCCGACAGTGATGATAAAGATGTTGATGTGTCAACTGCCTCGTCACCTTCAACATCTGTGGTAAAGAACCCATTTGTGTTTACTCCATCAAAAGAAACAACAGAATCTTTGCGTGCTGTTTTCCCTCATGTGGATGGCGATGAAGTGATCGATCTCTGCTTTAACAGCATGTTATGGTGACGAGAAAGCTGCCGCTTCACTGTTACTTGACAAACAATCGGACTCACATTCAACATTGCCAGGTCAAACAGATTCTCTTTGCATTTATTACAATTAAAACTCTTTTGACCCATTAACTGGCAGTACTCGTTCTTTGACAAGTAAAATCATCTGACTAACCAGGCAAATGAGTTACTGAACTGTAAGTTGATCATCGGAGGTCAGATATGGAACAAATATAAGTTACAATACTGTAGATAGTAGATCGGTAGCGGTGGGGTTTATACCTTGATTGCATATGCAGTGATTATTAATTAAACTTTTTTTTCAGATTCGCCTATCGCGTGTGGTACAGTTAGAGAATCCTTGGCTAAATTCCGTCAACAGAACAGGGAATCAGGGCCACCGCTTAGAATTCATCTTGACAGAATGGAAGGAGAGTTGGATAGTGATATCCTTGCCTTATACAAAAGCAAGGACATATCTCTGAGAAGAACACCAAGAGTCAGATTTGAGGGGGAACCAGCTGTTGGGTCAGGGCCTGTGTCAGAATTTTTTACACTCTATGAAACTACTAGAGGAAGGTTTCTCACTCAATGAAAAGATTACAGTACTTGAAGGAGAAGATGATCACAAGGTGCCAATTGCAAACACCATGTTAAGAAAGGCTGCCATCTATGAAACATTTGGAAAAATGATAGGACATTCAATTCTACATGGTGGTCCTGGCATATATGGTCTTTCTGCAGCAGTGATTCATTACTGGACAGTTGATAATACGAAAGAGAATCCCCCAACTTATTCTTTAAAGGATGTTGCAGATATTGAACTTAGAGGAATCATAACACAGGTCAGTAGAGTGTGTATGGGTAAATTAAAACCATTATTTTTGGTAATACAAACTGTTTATATCTTAGTAGTAATAGAGGGGCCGATCGATCCGGATTTTTGCGGCGGTGGAGTGCGGCGGTGGAGTGTGGAGTGTGGAGGGTAATTAGTATTCCAATACGTCATAATTATATGCAATGACGTCACGCGGGCAGGTTTAAACAAGGACATGTGAAACTTGCTGACTACTCATTTTTTATTAATATAGGTACCGTTCGACCCCCATTTTTGCGGCGGTGGAGTGCGGGGGTGGAGTGTGGAGTGTGGGGGGTAATTAGTATTCCAATACGTCATAATTATATGCAATGACGTCACGCGGGCAGGTTTAAACAAGGACATGTGAAACTTGCTGACTACGCATTTTTTAGCGTCCCTCCACGTTTATGATACAATGGAGGGATTAATGTTGGCTTACTATGAACTTTTATACAAGTATCTGTATAAAATCGACAAGTGTCTTGTAACAAGCATAGTTTTGCATTAGTTCTACATCAGTCATGGAGTGTCTACACGGTAAAACCACATCTTACAATTTATTGGAAGGAATATTTGCGAATGCAGTCGCACAAGAAGTTGAAAGACTTTGTGTGGAATCCTGTAATGGTTGTCAAGTCAGTCATCCTAGTCAAAGACAACATGACTGCCTCATGATGAACGAAAACGAACGATGGCAAATGTATGGTTTACAAGCGATCGAACGAGTGAATGGTAAGCATATGGTTTGGAATGAATTCGCTGAGGCAATGAGGGTACTAAAACTGGCGGTTGATAGAGATGTACTCGAACATTTACAGCAACTGGAAAAAGATCCAGATTCTACGTTTGTCGATTCATTGATGGAACTACATCAGAACACTGAGAACCACGAACTACAATGTATACTGAACTATTTGTTTCATTGGAGATTAGAAGACCCACTCGAATCCGTAGCTGAAGCGTTTTTCTCTTACCCACCGAGTTACATGTATTATGTGAAGGCGACGGGTGAACGATTTAGAAGTTTTGAGGCAGATCATAAGAAAGCTTATCAAGAACTCATGGAGAAAAAACTTGTAGAACAGTTTAACAAATAGTTTTAGTTGTAATATTTTTTGACACTATCGTCTGTTATTTGTATCAATAAACATGTTTTATACTTTGCAAATGTTGCGTTGTTATGCGTTGCTAAGTCATTAGGAGGCGTGTAGGCGATGTCCCAGCTCAAGCTCCTGTTCTGACAACTCCACTAGTGCCTGCAGAGATACCATCACAAGCGCCTCCTACGCCTGTAATAGCGGAAATACCAACACCAGTGCCTGCGACTCCTAAACCTAATTTCCTTACGCCACCACCAACAGAAGAGGAACGGCCAAAACTCAAGCACAACTTTTTCCACAATTGGGTAGACTCTACAGATTGGAGGCCCCAAGATTTGACAATGATGACCCCTGAACAAAGAGAAGGTTACGAACAAAGATTACTTCGCGAGAGGCCGAAATATATTCCAATGAAGGATGAAGACGTTGCAAAGTTATCCCCAGAAGATAGACAAGAATATGAGAACTCTTTAAAAATAACAAAAACACCTAGACGTTACGCTCTTAGAAGTAGACCGTACTAAATTTTGTAAAACGTTTTGAAGAAATAAATTTAAAAACTGAAATATTGTGTAATTTTTGCCGGCAAAGCCCGCTCTTTCCGCCCGCGCGAAAAGATCCGTGTACAAATATGTTGTACTTTAATATATGCATGTACCCGCAAAGCCACGCGCCTGATTTTAAGGTATACACCTGCGTTAAAAAATAATCCCTATCTATCCATCGGGATACACTTAGTTATGCAAATTCGTATTACCTTAATCCTCTTAATTACCTACACGCCTCCTAATGACTTAGCAACGCATAACAACGCAACATTTGCAAAGTATAAAACATGTTTATTGATACAAATAACAGACGATAGTGTCAAAAATATTACAACTAAAACTATTTGTTAAACTGTTCTATAAGTTTTTTCTCCATGAGTTCTTGATAAGCTTTCTTATGATCTGCCTCAAAACTTCTAAATCGTTCACCCGTCGCCTTCACATAATACATGTAACTCGGTGGGTAAGAGAAAAACGCTTCAGCTATGGACTCGAGTGGGTCTTCTAATCTCCAATGAAACAAATAGTTCAGTATACATTGTAGTTCGTGGTTCTCAGTGTTCTGATGTAGTTCCATCAATGAATCGACAAACGTAGAATCTGGATCTTTTTCCAGTTGCTGTAAATGTTCGAGTACATCTCTGTCAACCGCCAGTTTTAGTACCCTCATTGCCTCAG